CCCGCACAGGTAGTAATTTGCCTGGATTGTCTCTCTACATTTTCTAGCCATTCTCTCGGCGTACAAGTGGCTGGTGGTCTACCTCATCCAAGAGAGTATGTCCAAGCTGCAGGCAGAGGGCCGGAAGGGCAAAGATGCCTTCACCGCTCGCAACGACAGCCAAGTCTACTACTGCCGATCGCTCGCCATTGCGTACATAGAGGTATCTTGTTCAAACATTTTACATGGAAAATGAAACCTAATTTGACAACATTGCGTTTGACCCCAGCAGGTCAGCAACCAAGTTAATTGGCCCAATGCACCTGCTCTTGACCGTGAGGAAATAAATTGCATGACCCAGTTGTCACCTGGCTTAGTTAAAGTCAGTGCTGTTCTGGAGCCTTTCCCAAGTCCCTGTGTCTGCTAAAGTGAACGCCAGTACATGCGGGTGCAACTCACATACTTATAGGACGCCCCAAAAGGACTGAGTGTGTGCCAAAAAGTAGAAATCATAGTGACCTGCCTCACTACTGCCATCATAGTCATGAAGCTCATTTCAGACAGTGACATGTTTCTTTAGGGTTCTGCCCCAAGTTGACACAATGAGCACTGTGTGCTCCAATTTACCAAAAGCTTTACGAGAAAAGACCCATAAAAACTGACTTCATTGGTACTGAAACTATGGTCGTCTGCCTGGTCGTGCAGCTATTTTTTTTTCTTCAGTAATCCACCAGCTTCAAGATTTCTAGGTTTGGCTGACTGGGCTACATCACATGTTAATGATGAAATTGAAAATTTCTGCCTTCCGTTTAAAGGCACGCCAGGTTTCATTGCATTTTTCAGCACACTGCTCTGGACGCCTTCATACGTTTCTGCCACAACGATGACATCAACCCCTCCCTCAGGACAGTCCTCCTAAAGCTAGGTAGCTTGTACGGTCTGTGGAGTCTGGAGAAACACGCCGCAACTCTGTACCAAGGTTAGCCTAGCTGTTCTCATTGTCATCAGGCAGGGTTCTTGGTCTGACTTTTGGGGGAAGGGGCTTAACCACCTGCTGCCGGGGAACCCCGTTTTGAGCACCATGGGTTTATATGCAGAGCTGGGGTGCCCGATATGGGACAAAAGAGCTGGTCTGTGTAACAAAAGACTGTACTCGGAGCAAAAGTTCTGCTGCTGGGAATTGCCATCATTTTTTGGCTTGCATTTTTCGAAGGTAATCCCTCACTGTGTTTAAACAATATACCACTGTTTTGGGCATAGTGCGCCCGCGGATCAGCACTACGGACAAGCACTGCGGCTTTCGAGTCCAGCCTCGTTGGAAAAGACACCACTCGCATTCACTGGGGACAAAGGAAATAACGCAACACCTCACAGTTCTGGGCTCTCTTTACAGGGCGGCAGGCCTGGCTGAAATAATCAGGAGTCAATGAAGATTACCTGTCAGCTTTTAGAGTAGCCACCAAACAGTCATTCGTGTGGGTGTAAATGTCCATTAAATGAAATGATGAATTTTTGAAGAATTTTTGAAAACTGAAAATCTGGAAAATCTCCCGTATGTGTGCACTGTATATTTTAAAGCACCCGGCAGCAAGTGGTTAACCAAAAAAAAGACACTAAAATTGGTGTCAAAATGACTTCCAGACATTACTGGAAAAATTCTGAAGGATTGGCACCAAAAACAATGCACTCAACGATATTTGAGAAAACATCAAAGACAGGATTCTGGCCTTCCCTCCTCCTGCCTCATGCAAGGTTATCTTTTTAAATGCCTTTCCAACATTCTCCGAAAAACTGCTTGAGCTATAAAGAAAAATCACTTAATCATGAAAAAGAAGCTAACTATGGAGGTTATTTTTGAGTCACCAGATGGAATTTTTAAGTACCATGATCCCATCTCTGTGAAAAAGAGGGCAAACCCAAATTTCATATTTATCATCAAAATCTCTAAAAAAGAAATCTCTAAAGGACTCATGCAGTATAATTCATTTGCAGGGTCTGGCTGTTGGCAATCCAGCAGATTAGACATCTTAACTCTTATAATCAGGAGCCATTCTCTTTCCAGGTGGGTACTTCTCTGGCAGCGGTCCAGCCCATCTGATCCGAGACGCCATCCTGACCCTCTGCTCTCAGCTCAAAGACGAAGCCGTGGCCCTCGTGGATGTCTTTGCCCCACCTGACTTCATCCTGAATTCCCCCATCGGTGCTTCGGACGGACAGGTGGGTTTTCCTGGGGTTGGAGGGAAGCCTTTTATTTGCATTGCTTGCCATCCACAGTCTTGGCAAGGACTAGGTTTGAATTCTCAGACCTATTAGTTTGATGGTCTTTATTCTGTGTTCTCATGGGAATTCACATTAGTCCCTGTAGTTTTGACTCAGTATCCTAGTCACTGATGGAGATGTTGGAGAGCCTTACACCACTTCATTTGATTGCACTTGATTTTAGTTTTCCAAAACAAGATGCTTCACCTAGGGTTTCCCGTTTCTGGTGAAAAGCATTTATTTGGACTTGCTGGTAATTTCAGCATTTTTTTTTTATTCAAATACTTTTACAGGTGACACAATAATTTATAAATTACAACAACCAGGAAGCACTTTTACAGTTCCAAGTTGACAGCCATTTCTGGCAATTTTTAGAGTTTTCTAAAAGTGGAACAATTTCTGGTCATGATAATTCCGATGTTGTTTATGGGGGACTGATTTGTTGGGGGTGGGGATGGTGGTGGGGGAAGTCCATGACTTGAAGCTTATTCCTTATTGGCTGAACTTGTTCGCTTTTCATGAACAAGTTTGAAAAAGTCATGTGAAAAATGAGACTGCTTCATGAATATTTTTTGACATTTTGATTTTTTACCCTCTCCAACTGCAGGTATACAAGCGTCTGTATGCTGCCTTTCTCCAAACTCCGGGCAGTCTAGAAAGGCCGTCATGGTGGAAGGAATTCGCCAAGAAGTCTGCTGCAGCTAAACTTTAATGCTGATAGGGATACACGTGAGGTACTCCGCGAGTAAGGTCAATGAGAAGGGACCTCTGAACTTTGACCTTGCAACTGTTCATGTCAGCGTAACATTTTGCAAACCTCCACAGTTGTATCAACTGTAGTGGAAATAATGATATTTGAAATTTTAATTTTAATTTTGTTCCCCATTTCCAATGTCCTGTGCTTTTATGTGGCCTTGTGAACAAGGTCTTTCAATACACCTCTTGCCTAGCTAGCCTTGCATAACTGATGATGAAGGTGGGGCTAAATTGTGGATTTATTGGGCAAGAATGCATGCTCAGGTGACGATCAAAGTGAAATTCTGTGTAATGCGTATCGATCAAGCAGTCAGAGGTTTGATTCGCAAATTCTGACAAGATGCTGCTTCGGATGAATTTCAAGAATGATTTAAAGCCCTGATAAAGGCCCCGCCCTGCATCCTTTTTTGTCAGACTGTTTGAAGTTCTGCCCTGCCTATCATTTTACCTCTGCCATGTATTATATTTTTCTTCCTTCTTTACAGTATTGTCATCGAGATCCTGGAAGACCGTCACAAGACTAACATAAGACCTCCAGTCTGAATTCCACTCACAAGCTATGCAATTGAACCACAAGCAAAGCATGCCTTTGCTATTGTTGAAATTGTTATTTGTGACTGGTCTTGTGAGTAGTCTTGTGACTGGTCTTGAGACTGGTCTTGTGACTGGTCTTGTGACTGGTCTTGTGTATGGTCTTGTGCATGGTCTTGTGCATGGTCTTGTGACCAGTCTTGAGACTGGTCTTGAGACTGGTCTTGAGACTGGTCTTGAGACTGGTCTTGAGACTGGTCTCGTGATGGTCTTGACTTCAAGACTGCTTTTTTGACAAACATTTAAAATTTTACTGTCAGTAGAAATCATATGTGGTCATTTGGTCCAATTGTCAGCTTCATAAGGACCAAGGAATTCCTTTTATAGGTTTTGTAATACTTTCCAAAGTTTGTTTTCTTAGACCAAGCTTCATTTGAATAGCAGAGACTATATACCTGAAGTATATTTTCAACACGGTCTATTGTTTAAAGTTTGATGCAATAATGTGATGACTTTGGCCAGTTTTCAATATTATTATAAGTATAAGTAACAAATAATAATCAAATCAAACCAAATGATAGTCATAATCAAAAGTTGGGTATTTTGAATAAGAAATGTTATATTCACATTGGGAAAAGGTAACTTGCAAAACTGCATCAGGATTGCTGTCTTGAATTCAAAGATGTCGGACAGACAGTTTGCCTTTAAAAGTCAGCCTTGCAGAGAATATGAAAACTATTCAAATTCCCTCAGCAAACCTGCAGGGCTGCCTAAACATTACTGTTGCCAAGCTCTCTCCAAAACATGCAATGTTGTTACGCAGAGCAGGGAGTCTGGGTTAATCCAAGTTACTATCTATTTCTGATTCCTCCATTTTATACCACACAGTTTTTTGACATGGACATCTTTGCTTCGACAAGTAGCTGTATTATTGTGCCATGCAGTGTAGCTGCAGATGTGCTTATGTTGTATGAGGACGTTTACATGTATTCCTCACCAATTAAGTTTTCATCAGTTCCTTGATGTGTTGCTATTCAGTTCTCCACACATGAGAACTTTTAGTTTTCAAGAAAGTAGAGTTGAGAGCTATAGATCTGGATCGCGATCAGTGATCCCTATGCCGGTTGGCACCATCCATTAGGTAAGTTTTGGTGTCTGTAAACCAAGGACGGATCACTGATCGCAATCCCGATCCATGTGAAACAGACATGGCCGCAGACGAATCCCGTGACGTATCACTGGACATTCCGGATGGCCCCCTTTAATGGCGGAAAGTAGTGTATTGGGTTGTGTACAGTGCGAGTGTCAGGAACAATGCCTACATATGTACAAGAGTTATGGCAGTGCTTCCCACCATTGGTGGAGGCCACTTCAAACGACCCGTGAAAGCATTACCGTGGTCACCGAATTCGTCTGCAGACCACTCTCATTTTGCACACAACTTGTATCACAACTTGAAATATCACCTTTTGGTTGGTTTCCAATTTTACCTCCATTCCATTCAATTTATTTAATTTAAATAGGGATGTATTTTCATTTAGTATTTAGTAGTACGTGTATCATTATCTGGTGTCATGATAGCTGCGTGGGATTTTGAACACTTCGTGAAGTATTCTTTTACTTTTGTTCTGATGGCCAACCATAATTTTAGCAGCCACTTTTTGGTAAACATGACTGTGACGTCAAATGAGCAGAAGTTCCAGTTCCAGGATCTCCATGGTCACTTGAATGTCATGTTGGCATTCATTTTCTCAATCATTTGATTGGTCTGGTGTAGGGTGATAATTATGTGTCATAACAGGCTGCTTAATATGACTGGGAATTGTATTCAAAATTAATCGTTTGTATGGCTTCCAATCATACCGTTTGCATTGTGGGAACATATTTTTTTCATGAAAAATTGAAGAAAATTTTCCAAGTAAATTTATATATTAAGGAGATATAGCCAAGAGTCTGTTTGTCAGTACAGGTAATGAAGTATTTTACATGTCGTGGGATTTTGGTTGGTGAGCGTCTCTGTGTTTTTTAGACACATTGATGTAGATGTTTTTTGGGAGCAGTTTGCTGGTACTCGTCACCCTATCGAGAGCCTGGGGAGTTTCCAGTCTCACCTTGGACTCTGTTTCATGCTTTGTCTTGGACATCAAACCCATCTTCAGGCTTATGGTGTTCAAGTTATAAAATGAAATACACCTTCTATGGGTTTATATCAGTACAGGTCACTGCTTCAGTAGAAAAACCAGATTTTCTTCTCAACTCTTAACTTTGGTGTTAAAAATCAAAGCAAAGCCAGCGCAGAGATGAACTTGAGATTTAAAAAAAATGCCAGGTTGCATCTTAAGCCAGAGCCGGCTGTTATGACAAAGGGAAGTGGAGTCTCCCACCAACCAGGGGTCTTCCGAAAGAGCCGATACAGTTTGTTTTAACCACAGAGCTAATATTAAATGACTAGAGTGTTAACTCGTCAATGCCTGTGCGGTAAAGCTTTCAGACCTTCTGGGCACAGACATTTTGATTTCATTCATGTACGTGCATTTGCAGAACAGATGCACCAGTACACCATGTGCCCCCTTTTTGCCCATATCTATTGCTATGCATGTGTTTGATTGTGCTGTGCAAAACTGTAGTCGTTCATCAGTGTTGTAGTCGAGACCAGCACAAGACCAGGCACAAGACCAGACACAAGACTGGGTACAAGACCAGACTCAAGTGACAGGGTGAACAGTGACAAAGGAATGCTTTTGTTGCAGTTCATTTGAATAGCTTGTGACTTGAATTTAGACTGGAGGTCTTATGTTGGCATTGTGCTGGTCTTGTGAAGGTTTTAAGTGGTCTCCACTACAACACTGTCGCTCATTCACTGATTGTGTGTTTAGATTTTGGCACACCAGCTTTGTTGATGCATTCTTTTAGGCTATAGATGTAGATATGGAAATATCCTCGCAAAAGTTGAATAAAATTGTGAGTTTTCCACACAAACATGGATGCACCTGCAGGCACAGCAAGTTAGCGCTCTAGTAATTATTTAAAGCTCTATGATTTTAAGCAGAGAGTGAAATGCCAGGCATGGACAGCTGTATTATCAGCAATTGTTAAACTATCAACTTAGAACTCTTGGAATTAGATGACACTGTAAAGTGCCGGTGCTTACAAGTGAGTTAAGTTTAGCAGATGGCCTGTTTGGATCATAGCTGGAACCATGTTAAAATTTAGCAAAGACCCTACAGACTAATGATTGTGGTTAACGTATTTAATGCAATGGTTGTGGTGTATTTGTAGTTTCTTGTCGGGAATGTGTAAATCATAGGTGTAACAATCATGAGATACAGAAATAAATTTTCAGATGAAAATGCAAATTATGACATGTGATTGTCATTGTATTTGTCTGGGTTTTCAGCTATTGCTGTATGTATTTTTGGAAAGAGTGCAGTTTAAGTTACTTTTCTGTTTTGAATTTCTCCAAAGTTGAAGGTTAGTGAAGTAGGTAACTTCATCCTAATTCTTGTCCATTTTCTAAAAAGTTGTAATCAGAAAGGGCAATTTCTGTTGAATGATTTAATTTACACGAAGTTTATGCATCTTTAATTTGAAAACATTACAAATTTTATTTCAAAGGCATATTTTTAAGATTTTTATTATTATTTTGGTGAGTCATGTGTCACACCCCCCTTCATCCTGGCCTGTCTATGAACAGTCAATTGGGAAATCAACGTTGAGGGCGCTAGGGTCACATTATTGCCATGATTAAAGTATAGTCCTGCTGTCAGGTGACTGTAGGTGTCAGAATTTTTCGTAGAATTTGCGAAACGTCGGTAAGAATATTGCTTATTCTCTCGCTTTTTGTTCTTTCACGACGCTGTAGCCCTCAGGGAAAGACGGTAACTTCTACATTCTTTATGTTAAGATGTTACTTTATTTTTTGCCGAGCAGAACAAAGACGCTGACTGCAGCATGGGAAAGAGCAGACGACACGTGCATAGCAAATATCGTTAGAGTCTGATGGGAAGGACTTTTTTTCGGAAAGAGTTCCATCACTAATTTTCCCTTGGAGTGGTTTGTTATCCATCAGAGAGACGTCCTAAAAAGTTAAATTCAGTAGGGAACAATTGAAGCATTACAAAACACTTTTTAAAAATTACAATTTTTTTGCACGTAGGCGAGGACCTCGACCCTACATCGTACAATTTAGGGTGTCAAGTGATGTCCAGATAGGGCCTATGGAACTCTGTTCCCTTACATTACAGGGTGCAAATTAACATCATCTTATTCGTCGTTGTGCTAATTATTCATCATTACTTGTCATTATGCTTTGTAATTTTGTTGTCGCCTAAACAGATTCACATAATTGCAAGTGTAATCCAAGGAAATTTGATTCATTTGTGGTATTGAAACATTTTCTCTAACATTTTGTAACAAAACAAACCCAAGAATTTATCTCAACCTGTAATCAGCATGGTGGTCTTCGACATTAGAGTAACATGAACTGACTCTGACAGTAGGTTTATGTACTTTGCATTTGATCATTTTATGCCATGATCATTTATTAACCAACCTCCTTCCATACCGTCTCTGAAGTGATAACAGACGTACATGTGGCTCTGGCTAATTTCAGTGTCATCCACGGGTCACCCATCATCCAGGGGTCAGGCCATTTGGGTCTGATCAGATACATGTAGACCTTTTCTGATATCATCTTATCAGCTGAGAGCAAACACGCAGTCCAATAAACTTACAAAAAACACAGGTACGTGTACAGAGACAGGTGTGAGATCATTCCCGTGAATCAGTATCAATATATCTGGGGTGGGCCTTTGTTGAACTTGAAGATAAAATCCTGAAAATATCAACCCCAAAATAATATAAGATTGAACTTTGGAAGATTTCTGCCTCTCTTGAGCTCCCATAATGATTCTGTTCTCCTACAAGTTACGTGTAGATGAGCGCATTGACTGTACAATTATCAGAAAGTGTGGAGTGAAACTTTTATTTGCAAAAAGTGAAATTCACTCAAACCAGTCTGTGGGAACACTGAGGTCACACAGGTCAGTCAGTCCTCAGCTCCTCCAGATCCATCAAATTCATAACCAGAGGATCTTAGAAGATTATGTAGGTTTCAGTTGGATGCCAGCTAAATTGTTAATTTGTAGTAGACTGGATGCTGCTGAGAAGTTACTTAGAATCAAGAATGCATGTGCTTTGGAGTTCCACTGAAGTGGAGGATTTTGGAAGATTAAAGAAGCCTAGGCTAGGCTCTCAACAAAATGCCCAGGTTTATACACCTGTAGATAACCCCATCTCTAAATCCCCCAATTTTAATATAAGTTTTCACTCACCCAAGGGGTAAAAAGAGTTGTGCAATTCAGCATTCAAGGACTCTTGTCTGTAGACTTACTCTTGGACAAGTTACTATCTCTTAAAGTTCTTCGAGGAGTGTATTTCTGTGTTTACTTGATGATAATTTGAAAGCATGTGAGAAAAATTGTTGAACTTCGGAATTTCATATTGTAAGTGATTAGTAACTGAATCGGGTCGTAGCAGTGAACTTTTCCAATCGAAGTTGAAGGGCAAGAAACTGTCAGGCATAGACTTCACTCTGTGCAGTAAGCATTGATTACATTAACCCTAACCCTCCTCAATCCTCCAACAGGTGAAGGATTGAGGAGGGTTAGGGTTAATAAATGTTCTAGTTTCAAAGAGCTGTGAAGCAGAGAAGTAGGCCAAAACTGAGGAACAGCTGATTACATTGCAGCTTACACATGTACAGGTGTATGTTGTTCCAATGTGGGTGGTGTCACCTTTTTGCTTAGCAGACCTGTATCAAATACACTTAGCATGTTTTTTTTTTCTGGATTTGTTGAGGTTCAGCGAAATCGGGCACCTTTTCTGTGTGGTTCATCTCATCCAAGTTTCCATTTGTTACTGAATGTTGAACTAATATCAGAACACACTGTGGTTGTGCATACATGTAAATCCGTATCCCTTATTAATTTAAAAAAAATATACAAAGTTTGGTTCTCTGTCAAATTATCCTTGAATTAATTACAATTTGTAATAGAGGCTTAAATATGCCGTAGTTGTGCCAGTCAGTGTCCTGTAAAGGGACAGATAACAAGTGCATGTAGAACTTGACTTCCTGTATTTAACTGCCGGCAAGTGCAAATATTTGTCTGCCATTGCCTTCCTCAAAGCTTGAATTGGATTCACCTAGAAGAGGTATATATAGCTATATGTACCGATACTTGTAAAGTTATAAAGACACTAAATAGACATTGTTCCCTTACATGAGCTCCTAATAGTCAAGGATTGTCCTATGTAGGTACAGGTTTATTTCCAGTTAGATCAAGCTGTTTCCTTGTGGAATTTCTAAGCATTCTAACCTTAAAGTTGGAATCCCTTTAAAGATAGCAACATCATTCAAACGTGCCACTGTAAAATGCGTTATTTGTAATTGCCGTGTTTTCGTCCTTTCAGCCAGTAATCAGCCACCCACTGACGAGCCATGGAGGCACGTACAGCAGCGAGAGTGGTGACCGCCCCGGATGACTGGGATTCACTGGTACCCGACCAGCCCTCCGGTCCACTGGATGAATACAGGCAGCGGGCATCGTTCAATTGGAAAGAGATGAAACTGGTAGTGGACGGGGAAGGCGCGGTCCGATTTAAAGTGAGAGCTGGCTTTGCTTTGATGCCATGCTCTGAACTCCCGGATGATATCCCCAAACCTGGATACATGATTGGGAATCAGAGACGCAGGCATGGTATCTTTCAATTTTTTTTTTTGTCTTGAGCTTTTGGCCAAGAATAGCACCCTCTGAATCCAGAGACTTTGCATAACATTCCCAGAAAATATTTCCAGTGCAGGTAGCGAGAAGAAGCCACCAATCTGTGTCTAATTCTAGACTCTTATTAAATTGTCACTGTTATTTCTGTTCATAGAACATAAGTGCTTTGTTTTAGTGGCAAATCTTTGAAGTCAATGAACATTCGTTATTCACTTGACTTTACAAAATCCAGTCATTTGATTTTGGGGGAGTTTATGCACTGCCGTTTCAAAAGCTTGGTTTCAGTCCGTTTTGTGTATGCTGCGTATTAATTCTGTCCATGTCAACTGCATGCCTAATTGATGGACTGACCCAGTGAGGGGGGACAGAGGATGCACATTCCCCCCTCCCCTCTGACACCCTTACACCCCCCCCACGGTTAAATAAATTTCCTATGCCGACTGCACTGTAAATGACCATCAATATGAATGATGCTCAGATTACCAATGGCCGTCCAGCTCCCTCTGTAAATGGCAGTATGGATCTAGCCCCTGGAAATGGCCCCAAAATGCAATTATTAACCCTAACACTCCTCAATCCTTCACCTGTTGGAGGACTGAGGAGTGTTAGGGTTAATGGAAGATGACTTTGACCAAAATCTGTCCAGTGCTTGTGTTCAGATCAATTTACTTTCATGTTATGAAATCTGAAATGGTTTTCTCTGTACTTCAAGGATGGGCTCATATTTATCTATATCAGTACCTCAGGCACTCAGATGCCTGCATTCTGGATCTCATGTTTGTCTTCTTATCGGAACCCGTCGTGACTACTCACGGCTGTACAATGCACCATTGTTCTGCTGCATCTTGCTCACACAGCACAACCTGTGGTCCCAGTTGGAGAATGAGACGGTCTACCAGCACCCTCACCACGATGTTGGGCTAGCGGAAGACCGGGAGATCACCCATCGCCGCCTCAAGCGCCTGATGGAGCTGAACGTCTTGCCCATCGAGAACCTGATGGAGAACATCTCCCAGATGCAGTGGATGGTGGACGGCGTGGGGGCTTACGACATGTCGCTGTCTATCAAGTACATGCTCAACTATCAGGTATGGGGGGCTGCTTTGTAAGGGATCCTTGATAACATGGTGAAGTTTGACTCATTAGGATCAATCAGTCTTTTAACCACTTCATGCCGGGGCATTTTTCAATGTTGATGATGCTGGGTCTGCATGACTATCATTTTTTCCGTTTTCAAAATCCTTCAAAAATTTATCATTTCATTTAACGGTCGTTTATAGCCGCACCAAGTAATTTTTAGGCACTACTCTAAGTTGACAGGTGGCCTTCATTGACGCCCGAGTATTTCAGCCATGCCAGCAGCCTTGTAAACAGAGCCCAGGTTGTGCGGTGTTGTGTAGCTGTCTTTTGTTCACGAACCTGGCTTAGTGCACTGCTGACCTCTTTTCAATAGGGGCCAAATTAGCATGCAGCAGTGCTGTGTGGCTCATCCCTGCGGTGGTGGAGCGCCTTTGTCCCCGGTGGTAATCCGCTTGCTCTCAATGCCCCAAACCCCGGTATACGGTTTCAAAACAACACTGGATTACCACCACTTTTGAGAGTG